GCCTCAGTTGTTGGGCAAATAAAGTTGACGTTTTATAGATAGAGACATGTGCGATACACCCATCCAATGTGTGTCGTAGATCTAAACGTGGCACCCCCGCGTTTTACCCCCAAAAACAGATGATGGAAACGTGCGGGGCGGCGAATTGTCGAACAATAAAACACGAAAAGGAGAGCAGGACTTTGCAGAAGTGAAGTTTGTATACCCTGCTTAAAGGGGGAAAGGTTGAATAAAGCAACATTTTGTGGGGTAAGTATGTGGAAAAGTCAAGAAAATGTGTTTGCACTCTCCTCAATAAATACTGGAGTCCTTTGTAGTTGATTGAAGAACCCTTAACAGAGATAAATAAAAATGAATTTAACTAAAGCTCGTCTAGAATTTCATTCATTCGCTTTTAGCTTAAGTCTTTTTTAAAAAGGTCTTGAAAAATGTGGGTATTTTAACTTCACTGAAAAACATACAAATTTAATGGAAATAAATATTTAATAAACAATATAATTTCTTTTTTAATTCATAAATTTAGATAGCATTTAGCAGTGAAAGAAATTTTACTTGAAGTTCTGATAAAATTGTTGTAGGTATTAAAATAATTTTAAATCACCTTCGATTGCACAAAAAACTGAGAGTTCAAATAGAGTTATTGTTCCAAAACTTTCAAACTACCCTCATTTCCTAGGGTACAACAATAAAATGTGTTGGCACCTTCTGGCAAATGCCGCGCGTTCTACAATGCGAAAAACTCGTATAAGTAAAGTTCTGCCCCCTCCCCCCATTTACATCCTTCACTTTTCCCATCACCCCCGCCCAATTTTCCCCCTCCAAGGAGCCGGCAGCGATTTTTCTTGTTTGCTGCCTGCGTCTTCGTCTTTTGTCTGCCGCCCTTTTCATGTCGCTTTCCTCGCAAACGTCGCCATTTTTTGCAGCAGCAACTCCATCGCTTCCCGTTCCGCTGCTGCTCGCCGCTTTTTGTACTTTTACAACCCTCTTATCGGGAAAACTTTAAATTTTCGCATTCGCAATTCGCAGTCACAAATGCAAATGATGCCCCGCCCACAATCTACACTATAAAAACGGTAACAAATGTTATATCGCAAATACTCTATAAATTTCTTCCGCAGGTAACTTAACAAGTTGTTATTTATAAAATTGTCCTTTCAATAAATATTCCACAAAACAGGAATAATAATCTATAATAATAATAATTAAGAAAAATACTCTTTAAAAAAAACTGGAGGATCAACGGACAGTCAAACCCCTAAACATATAAATCTATAAAAGAAATCGGATTTTAAGATACGAGAACTTACTACACATTACTGTTCTATTTATTTTACTTATTTACTCTTTTACAAAAGTCACTAAATATAATTTCTACTCTTAATTCAAAGCTAATTTCCATACTTATCGCTCTGTTTTTCTTTAGGTGTTGAAATAAAATCATAGGAATGGGTAACTGCGGGATCCTTTGGCTTGCTCTCAGGGAGTCTGTTCACCATATGTTGCCAATTGAGGCGAAAATCGAAAACTCGTCTATGCTGGAATTGTTTATGACCCCAGCGGATTGAGCACATTGAGGGACTGACTTTCTTTTTGCACTAGCTCCTCCCCTATATCACATAAGTACCCCGCCCACCACACCCTCTAGTCCATCACCTTTTACTACTTTTTGCTCCAACTTTTCCCCATATTTTCCCCGAGTTTTTCTGCTGTCGCCTTTTAATTATGGCTCGCAAATTATTTTCGAATTTTTCCATCATACTGCGGAAATAAATGTTGACTGCAATTTCCCACCGTCCACCGGCCCCCGCGCCGTCCCTTCAACCCAATTCCGAACAGGATGGAAAAGGATTCGAACCATTTCTTGTATTTTTCCTGTGTGTTTTTCTCTCTTTTTCCGCTTTTTTTTCCCCTCACGGTTTATTTATTTCGCCAGGTAGCAAGAGTTTCCAGAGTCCAGGAATCGGAGTTGGAGTTTCCTGATGGAGTTCTGGTCCTGTTCTTGTTGCTGCTGTTGTTGTGACCTAAAAAAATATTCACACTCACTTCACTTGTCAAGTTGAATAAAGCAAAACGCTGCCCTGGAATCACGAGGGGCGTTTTAGTGGGAGGAAAGCGGAAAAGAGTCATAGTTGGGGAGTAAAAAAAAATTATATACATTCATATAATACAGCGATTCCAAAATCAGTTTAATCTTATCTTTAACTGATTTAAAAAGTCCAAAAAATATTATTATGAACCTTAACTTGATCCTATTTTTACTTATTTTATTTATTTATTATTATTATCCTAGCACAGCATTTGTGATGATTTAATAATATGTAATATTTATAACTTATTTTACAGCTAACCATCATATGATCACTTTTCCCACCCTTATAGGTTTATAGTTCTTGTCATATATTTTTGTCAGACACTGTACCGGCTTATATGTTTGTGCATACACTCATTAAAATCCGTCCCACTTGCAATTAGAGTTTGTCATTTGACAGCAGCGCGAAAATACATAAAATATATTGGTGACAAGCGAGCAACAAATAATAAAAGTGACAACATCGAAAGCAACGCAGTGTTGGAAAAATGGAAGCACACGCGGCGAATTATTGATAAATGTCATCACCGGTTCCCCACTCGGAGTTTATCATAAGTGGAAAATGGATTTTATAATTGAAACCCAATTTTTTTTTAATTTACCAGTTGTCTAACAACAGGATGTTTTGAGTTTATTTTTAATAGATTTTGATTTAATAAAATTTGACAAAACCCGTTGACATTTTAATTACGCATGTGGCATTAGGCACAATATGGCTGCATTAGTAAACAAATAAATTTACTCATATTAAAACTGCATAACTTTTTTAATTTTTCTTTTTGAAACTTTTAAATAAATCATTATTTTTATTAATGTTATTAAATATTTATCGAAACGAAGTAAAAAAAAACGAGTTAAAATAATTATGCTTTATCCTTATTAAATTACCCTGCCATTAATACATTTTTTTCAATCATTGTTGATACTTGCCCATCCGGGAAAACTCTTCATTCAGCTTCAGTCAACCTTTTCAGCCAAGGAAAAGTGCGCGTTAAGGTACCCGCCACAAGTACTTAACGACAGATACCGCATCGAAAGAGTACGATTGCCTTGTTATCCAGCCCAAATCAATTGATAAGCCCCCCGCTGAAAGACAGAAACCATTGGCAGAAGCATTTGAACGATTTCGAGCGATGAATCAGCGGCTGCTTTGAGCGACTGACTGGAGGCACTTATTGCGCATTGGTAATCGCCGATATATCATTATAATGTGTGGGTGACACACCAGGGAAGAAGCCATAGAAGTCAACTCCCCTTGTGCACTCGAAGAATTTGTGGTACCACTATTTATGTTATTTATTTTTAACTTATTGGACTGTGATTTGATTTTATTTACATTTAAGAACTTAAGTAAAATTACAATTATTAAGTATTCAATTTGAGAAATCTGTAAAAAATTAAATTGAATATAATTTACAGGAGTGAGAAAAAAAGAATAACTAAAAACTAAAGAAAACCAATTAGAAAACTATGAACTAAAAGCTGTTGTTTTTTATTTTATATTTTTTTTAAATTTTAATAATTGTGTTAAATTAATTTCTCTTGCATAATTAACCCTTATTCTGTTTTACAGCGCCCTTTTTTAGTGTAAGAAGCTCAAGGTGCCTGAGCAATTACAAAAACATGAGCAAACATGAACACAGCAATTGAAAAGCGGCTGAAGTGAAATTTAATACGGGTCAAAAGTGAATTCATGGAAAATTAAGCGGGACAAGGAAACCCTTGAAGCGGAAAGCGGTTAGGGGTTAAACCAAGGATCAGGAGGCGGAAGAATCCACGGCCTTGCCGAGCAGGTGCAAAAAGAGAGCTGTGCCGCACACCTGCAGATCCTCCCCGGCATCCTCCTTGATGCTGTCCACCAGAACAACTCCATACTTGACCACAATCATGACCAGCATCATCCGCAGATAGAGGAAGTTCCGCTCCACATAGGCCAGAAATCCGAGGGATACAATATTGCCCAGAACCGTAAGATTCCGCAAGCTATCACTGAAGGCACAATCTCGTCTATTTTTCGCCAGGCAGCAACCCAAATCGCAGACCAGGGGAAGCACGAAGAAGGCATGGCCCAAAGCAATGGGACTCAGGCCGGTGGACTGCATGTAGAGATCCATATTGGCCAGCGGCAGGGGCACCAGTTCCAGGACACCGTGCGTTACGTCCCTCAGCTTTCGGCACTCCTCCGGCTGGCCGCTGGCGAAGATCACTCGGAGCAATCCGAAGACCGCCGAGAATCCCACCACCACGCAGGCAACCAGGGCGAAGGGGTGCTTCTCCGGCTGCATTTTACGGCCTGAAAACACCGCCGTGCTCAGCAAAATGCCATTGTACAAAAATCGCAGCCAGGGACCCGACAGCGGTTCGCTCATCGCAACCGGAGGAGGAGGAGCAGTCGAAGGCTGCTGGCCAACTTTCCAATTTGGATACCTGTTTATGATCTAGACGCTATGGAAATGAGTGTTAAGGTAAAGCTTACTCAGGGATTCAAATGACGTGCCATAGTGTTCCGAAAGGTTAACCCACCTCTTAAAAAATGGGTTCTCAATCAATATACTATTATTTTATGACTTAATTTAGGTCTATGGGTCTATTGCGGCTAACCATATTATTCTTCTATTAAATATTAATAGTAAATATAAGATCTTCCATTTGGAAATAAAAGAATAAAAATACTATTAAATTACCGTGTTTAAAAGAGTAATTTTTTTTCCAATACTAAAATATTTACTGAGCCTCATCAGGGAATGGTTTATTTTCAGAGAGGTAAATAGGGTTGCTTATTAAACTACCGCTTGATTTATTTTTTGCCGATAGAAAGAATTTGACAGTGTCAAAAATATTCTGCACCTCAAACTTTGTGATAATTTACTTTCGGATAATTTACGCAGATTTCATTATGACCCCCAAAACAATGGATGTGACTGAAGAACCGGCTCATCTGGATCGCGACATGCTGAAGGAGCTGCGGGACTACTGCGTCCGCCAGGAGATGCCACTGCCCACCATTGAAATTGTGGAGCACCGTGGAACTCCTGAAGCCCCAGAATTCGTGGCCTGCTGCTCCGTCGCTTCCATAGTTCGCTTTGGAGAGTCGAAAAAGATAAGTCTTGCCATACAGAGGGCCGCCGTTGAAATGCTGGCCGCAATCTCTGACGACATGGATGAGTTGCGACCGGGTCAAATCAAGGAAGAAGGTACCAAAGTGGACGACGGATTGGAGTCGGAGCGCAGGAAGAAGTTCAAAACCTACAGGGAGCTCGCAATATCCGGAAGCTTAAATAATTCGGGTCGGCGCCTCTGCGATCGCCATAAATACTTTCAAAACTTCTATCCTGCCCTGAAGGAAGCTGCTTTTACAGTCATTCGTTCAGAAGGATACGCCAGTTCCAAGGATAAGGCCCTGAGCCTTTTGGGCGCCTTGAAGATCACACCCACTATCAGCTTCTTGAAGTCGATGTCCGAGGAACCCCTGATGTGCATAGAGCTGAATTGCGACTTCGATGCGGTCTTTGTTGCTCTGGAGAACGAAATATACGACCAAATGATCGATTACCTACGTATTATGTTGACTTAAAAGGATTTCCAAGTGTTTTATAACTGCGACCTAGAACCCAACTAAATGTTTATAATTTTTTCAATACATACTATCCAAATAACTAACTTAAATTCACCTAACTCTTGTTTAAAGTAATTAAATGGTATAAGTTTAAAGGCTCACCTGCGCTTATTTACCCAGAGTCATTCAATTAGGCGTGCTTTACATTTTGTCTTAAATAGGTATACATGTCTTTGTATATGTTAAATGTTTTTGCAAAATTTGTTTACTCTTTACGGTAATAAACCTTTACGTTCTGTACAAAACAAAAGAAAACGAAAGCGAATTTCACGTACTTTAATGTTAACTAAACACACGCATGATTATTATCCGGAAAGCACACGTGGTGGAGCTATAAAATTTAACGAAATACTCGCAAAATTTGAAAGCCTTAGGCACCATAAAAGGAAAAGCGAGAAAATCATTTAAAATTTCACACATAAATATGAAAGAAAATACATTTAAGGTTATAAGGATATACAATTTTACAATTTCATGCATTAATTGCCTGTGTTTTAAAAGTGCTAAAAAGAAAAAACTATATTTTGGTGGTATAAAATTGTTATGATAACAAAAATTGCTCTGGATTCCAAGCACAATATTAGTGCAAATGGTATATCTCACATTTTATAATTAGTGATTAAACAAAATAAGAATAGGTCGAAAAAAAAAGAAACTAGAATTCTAGAACATTTTTAAATGTATTGTTATAAAGCATATTTAACCTGCTGGCATGCGTTTTATAAGGACTAAATATATTCAAGAATGTCCTGAAGAATTCACCGTGTTAAATATCCAATATGGTATTTCAGTAATCCCCTCTTTAAAGCTTATGCCTGTATGTGTGTGTGTTAGCCCGATGGGATAACGAAGCGAATATGCAACTTGGCAACACTTGAGCATTCCAGGCACGCACCACGCCCCCAACCACAGCCCCCGCCTCCTAGAAGCATAAAGAAAAATAATAATTCAACTTTATTTGTGCCACTCACACACACACACTCAGGCACACACACTTACATGCCAAGGATACTTGGACGTGGAAGCGGGACAGCGATAGAGATGCTGTGGCAGGATCTTCCAGCTGTTCCCTGTCAACACCAAACACAACAACAAATACATCGAGCATCCGTGGTAAATTTAATCGAAAGCGTGTAATTGACCTCAGTAAATGGCGAGGAATGGGCGTGGAAATGGGAAATGGGTATGGGAATGGAAATGGAAATGAAAGTGGGATGAGCTGGGGAACGGGCTTTGTTGGAAGCTTAGCCAACTGCCATCAAATCATTATCAGTTAAATAAACGACAGCCAGCAAGTTAAAAAGATAACGAAGCTGCAGAACAGAAGCTACAGCTCCACGGCAGCAGCAACAGATGATATCTCTGCTACAGGACCACCATCCACATCCCCATATCCCCCCATTCCATTTTTGGCTTTGATTCCGATTCGGATTCACCCCCTTGCCACACCTCCCCCACCCCCGGCCCCAATAGACAGACGTAAGCCGCCTCGTTTTATGCTAATTCAAATGGAAATGGAGCCAGTCAGCAGCTGCTCGCTGGATTGCGAGAAGAGTGCACTGGGAAAAAACTAAGCTGTGCGAAATAAGTGCAGAAAAAAAGTAGTACAAATTTTAAAATTTTAAAAGAAAACTAATAAGAACTCTGTAGAACTCTCTCTCTCTCCAAAAAATGATAATGGATATGCAAATGTCTAGGATATAAGGGATACAAATATATTCCACCAAAAAAACGTTGTCATTGGAAATGTTTCTGACACAGGTATCTTTCAGATTCAGTATTCAGTTTAAAACTTTTGGTTCTTATAGTTTTCAAAATCTTGAGATTACTTAAATTGATGAAGAACACAGCTGCATAAGTGTACGTAGGGAAAAATAGATTTCTGTAATATTTTTCTCGTATTCCTTTTTAGGATTACTTTATAAAGTTATTTTTCTTACTTTATTAAACACAATTATTTCTCAGTGTCCTGGAGGATGAGCCGCGGATGAGGAGCACCACAAGTTGTCAACGGTGTCGCCAAAGTCGAAAGCAAAAGCAAAAGCTCGTTTCATTATGCGACGGGCGCTGGGTCGGTGGGCGTGGCTGGCGCCTTGATCGGGCTCACAGATAGCAGTGCTACATATGCAGATGTACGGGATGGTGGACTCCGACGGTCGGAACTCGGAACTGGGAGCTCGGAACAGGGAGCACGGAGCCCAGGAGCTGCGGACTCGACTCGCTGGCATTCCTTGTAAGGCAAATTCGCCATGATAATTTCCGCATCATAAAGCTGCGAAAGTAATTTTCCACTTGAAAGCACAGCGCAGCCAAAAAGTGTGAAGCTATAGGTTGGGGTGGGGTGGTAAAAAGAGAGGATGACTGGGGGAGGGGTCAGACATTGGTCCAGCTAAGACCTCAAGCTGTCTGTGCTGTATGAGAGTGTGCTTTTATACCTCCTAGTTCCAAAATTCCAGGGTGTGTTCTATACTATAGAATCTATAGTAAGTACGAAAAAAAAGAAATGGGACTATAAGTATCCAGTTCAAAGAGTTTTCTATTAAATATATTATTCTTTCATTTTAAAAAAGCCTAAAAATAACTAATAAAAATCAACTCATAAATTAAACAACCAAAACTATTAAAACACTATAACAAAATTATTGCATTAACAATTTAATTTAAAACTTCTTACAATTTGTTGAGCTGACTTTAAAATAAATACAGTAAAACAGGTAAAAATCAAGCACTTCCTATAAGCTTTTAAGAAAACTTTTTTTTGTACAAAGTTTTTAAAGATTTTTTTAGTATTTCTTTTTGAAAATCAATTTTAATTTCCTTTTATTTACTAGGTAATACCTACTAGGTATCCCAAAGTCTCAAGCACAATTTTATCTAATGTAGTTTTTGTGCCTGTTTGTTGGGTAATGTCGATGATGGGAGCTTGTTTTTTGGCACATTGAACATTTGGTGTTGTCACCTTTCGGGCGAAGCACATGCAAATAAGCCGACAAACAGGACCAAGACGGAAAACCAAGGCCAATTCAGGCCGAGATTCCTTTGCATTAAGTCGAGAGCATCATTTTGGGGGGAGGTGGAGGCTGGAGAAGTGGGAGATATAAGGTGGGGGGCGGTAGCAATGACATCTCTTTAAGGCGACATCAGATTAGGCTAAGCAGCTGGGCCAACACACACACACAGCGGGGAAAATCGTCACACACACAGAGACAATAGGGAGTGGCAAATTTCATTATGCGGCTCACGTGCGAGACAACCAAATTCACTGGGAAATAAAGAAAAAAAATGTCCAAAAGAAAAGCAGAAACCGAAAAACAGAGGAAAAAATGTTGGAAAAAGAAAAATACAAATACAACACGGAAGGCAGTTGTAGGGGGGAGGGAGGGAAAGTAGGAGGAATATCGGAAGGAAGCAGCAATAGAAAACGTACAAAAGCGAAACACGCAACCGAGAAGACGAGGAACCAGGCTCCAAAAGCAGGAGATTTCATCTTCTTCTTCTCCAGCTCCTCCACCCCGTTTCCCCACCCCCGCCCCCGCCTTTCGTCCTGGCAGCCAGGAAGGAAGTCAGTCAATGCCCGCAGCAAAAAGGCCAGAACACAAAAAAAATCAACAATAAGCGACAAAGTAGAAACAAAAATACAATTCAAACACAGTGCTACCTTATAAAAATAAACTAAGTAAAAGCGTTTTCCAGTATGTATTCTGCGAGGAAAGTGTAGGAATCATACTAAATCACCCTGATTTCGTTAATTTATTTACATTTTCAAGACAACTATACAATCTTGGCGAAATGTTTATTTTATTTAAAACTTTTATTATGAGAAATACTAAAAAAAAACCACCAAGTTTTTAAAACTACTTATATAAATTTCAAAATAATTTTTATCTTCTTATAGACTTTTCATTAGCATTCTAATTAAAAAAGAAACCAAGGAAACATCATTAAATTATATTTAAACTGGCAACACTGCGTATGAGCAATACAGAATATTTCTGAAAAAAAAAGTATTTCTAAAAAATGAGTAATATAGTTTATTACTAAAAAAAAACAACTAAGAAGCTTGAAAATATTTGTATCATTTAGCTATCCAGGCTTCACTGTACCAGTAGATAAGGGGAGGGGTAGAGGAAGGGAGATGGCCATAGAGTGACTAGCGAAATGCCCTAAAACCTACAACACACGTAGATAAATTTGAGTAATTCCTGCAGGTGAAAACGGAAACGAAACAAAAGTAAAAGCAAAAGAGCAAACTAAGGTCTCATCTCGGTGAGGGAAAGAAAAAGTTTTCCGAGTGGGAAAGCGAGGCGGAAGGGGGTCGGTGGAAAGTGGGAGGCAGGCAGGCTGTGACAACATCTGGTTGTTGTTGCTGACGCTGCTGAGCTAATTACTAATTTAATATTCCATGCCCATTGACCCTCACAAAAACAGCTCGGTTATCTGCTTGTTGTCTAAAGTCTCACATTAATTATCTTATCTAATCGGACAGTGCAATAAGTTTCAGTTTAAGTTAGATTAGTTGCTAAGTAGTAGCTGGGCTCATACTAGAGATACCTTGGATACCTTGCCAACAGCCCATTGGGAATTAGAACTGAGGCAAAAACTAGGGGTACATAAAGTTCAATATTTAATTGATCAATAGACTTACTTCTATTATATGACAGTTGTTAATAGTTTAAATTTGTCTGTGCTTACTTTGTATCATTTTAATTAAATGAAATTAAGAATCACCTTTAAGGTTTTAAATACTCAACTTGAAAATTAATAATGTAGTTTTTTTGACAGCAGATTTAATATATTTTTCAAAAATAGGGTCTTAAAACATCTAAAATAAAAAAAAAAAAAATAAATATTAAATACCAAGCCATACCCTTCGATAATGGACACAAGTAAATCTTTAAAAGCTTTTATTAAGTGCCACTTGTTAAATTTGGCATCCCAAATATTTTCGCCCTTGCAGA